TACTTAGAAGCAGTGTCATCATATAAAACCTTTCACCATTTACCAGACATAGTATTCAGGAAGTAATTTGCACCAAACTAGTCATTGAATGTTCACTACATTGTTTGCGTAGCTGCTTGGTTGTGGAAGAAAAATACCATGCTGAACAGGCGAAGGAGCGAAGGAGGGGTGCGGGGAAGGGAGGAAAAGATCGAAAATACTCTGTGCCTGCTCCTTCCTGCGGGGAATATAATAATGTAACATCATTGTGGAGTGTGGCAGTTAGGATAGAGAAGTGGGTGTAAAATCCCACGGGGATCAGGAACAAGATTCCGAGTCTGAACTGAGGGAAATCAGCAAAATCCATATTTTGTCCATTTTGGATCAATTTGAACTGTAGTAAGCTCTTTTTATAACAGAGTTAGTTTTTTTTAAGTAAACACATATAGGGTCAAATAAAAGCTGAGCACAAACTAAACCGAAACATGGAAAACATAGTACAAAATAAATAAAAATAATAATAATCCTTGCATTTGATATAGCACCTTATCACATCATCAAGATGTCTCAAAACACCTCACAGGCTGTACTGTAAAATGAAGTGACTGTGTATTTTGTGCGTGAAATTCAGCAGCCAGTTGTGCATAGCAGCGTCCTACAAACAGCCATGGAGTGAGTGACCAGTTTTATTTGGGAGATTGTTGGACACAGGGAGAAACTCCCTTCTCTTTTTGAATAATAACATAGGATTTTTAACGTCCACCTGAACAGGCAGACAGGATCTCGGTTTAGTGTCTCATCCGAAGGACAGCACCTCCTTATTATGCAACACTATCCCCAGCACTGCATTAGCGTGTCATCTTAGATGATGTGATTCCAAGTCCCGAGGTGGGGCTTGACCCCACATCCTCTGGCTCAGAGGCAAGAGCGCCAACACTGCGCCAGTCTATCACATGAGAATTAGCAAACAAATATGCTACATTTATCCAAATACATTGGGGCCAGAATATTGGCTGAACAATTTAGAGAGTGCAAGTTTTGGCAAATGTTTAAGTCTCTGTTTGCCAGCCTGTTTTCTGCACATTTCTTAATAAAATCTTTGAATAGAATTTAAGAATTTGCCACATTCTGCATCTCTGAAACGGTGTCAGATGTCAGCCCGGCTCAGTTGGTAGCATCCTGGTCGGGTGTCCTGGCCAAATAAATAAAATTGATCTAAAACTTCAGAGCTATTTTGTGGAATGTGCACAAATTCGCTTCTGTGTTTGCCCACAAAACACAGTCACTGCACTTAACAGTATATCCCATGAAGCACTTTGAAACATATTTATAACATGAAAGAAGCCGTACCAATGTAAGGATTATTATTATTATTGTATAATATTATGGTAATATATTTTAAGTCTAGGCCTGGGTGGAATTTTTTGCCCTAGTGTGCAATTGCTTGTTGTGGGGTTAGGTGAAGCAGAATTCAACTTGCAACAGTTAGTCTTGATTAAACCACCCTTCACTTCTACTTTCTATGACAGCTTAGACTGAGTTTTTACATTGTGAAATGCTTTCTATCAACGTGTAAGCATTATATTGTAGTTTTCTTATGCTCGTTCAGGGTTTATACAAAAGCCCATTATCATGCTTAAGAGTATCCAAATCAGACTATTAGCACTTTGCATGCCACTTACACATGCAAGTTGCTGTGTTTGGAATGGAACGTGGATCTTTAACACCTATCTGAACAGGCAGGCAGGAACTTGGTTTAACATCTCATCCAAAAGACGGCACCTCCAATGACAATCTGCTTACTTAATTTCATAGGAACATAGGAATTGCTAGGCGAAAAAAGACCAAGATCCATCCTGTTCGCCTTCGACCATCCTGATAGTCGCATGCTACGATAATGGAGATGTTGATATCAATTAATTCTGTATGGATTAGTCTACAACAGAGTGGAAAGCTTTAGGACCTTAGATCTAAAGTTGCCTGGTTCTTCCAAGCATACTATACTTACTATATGTCATGTCTCAAATTACTCAGAGACATGACATATATTAATTATATTTCATGAGGTATTAGGTGCAGGTTGGCAAGAGTCAAGGCTTGGGACCCATGAACACAAATCAGATCATGATGCAAACATGTCAGCTTGGCTCAGCTGGCAGCATTCTCACATCTGAGTCAGCAGGTTGTTGGGTTCAAGCCCCACTTGAGCTCACAGTCTAGGCTTAAATTCTGATACAACGCTGAGGGAGGGGTGTGTAGGGAGGGGGAGTTCTTCATTGTCGGAGGTACTGTCCTTCGGATGAGATGTTAAGTCAGGTTCCTGCCTGCCTGTTCAGATAGATGTTAAAGATCGCCTTTGGAAAAGAGAAGGGAGTTTCTCCTGCTATCAATAATCAATCCCTCAGATTAAAAAAAAGGTCATTCACTTCATGGCTGTGTGGGGCATTTTGGTGTGTGTAATACCAAAGCCTGACAGAATCTGAAAGGGCAGACCAGTCATTGGGGGTAAGGAGTCATCCCACTCAGCTCCTGTGAATCCTGCAAGCCAAAGACCTAACTAGCAGACAAGCAGCAGGGAATCTTACCAGACGGTGCTCTCGATGGCAAGCTATACAGTTTCACCTGGTTAGACTCCAGCAGTTGCCCAACCCGCACCCTGGGGTCCCCAAGCCTTGGTTCTTGCCAACCTGCGCCTAATACTTTCTGGAATTAGTTCAGCAGGAAGCATCCCTCCAGGGAGAGAGTGTGCATTCCATTCCAACAATCTACTTCTTGGGAGTTTTTTTTGGTGGGTGCAATACATGGAAATCGCAGCTTGGTTTGGATACTCTTGAAGTACAGTGATGGGTTTCTGCATGTGTTAAGATATCCGACCATAAACAAGCGATACAAAAGATTTCACAGCACTGCATTCTGAACGCAGACACGGGGGGAAAAAAAATGACATTTAACCATGACACCAAAAACAATCCGAACTTTATTTTTGGGGTTGAGGGGAGTTGTTCATGCCGTTCTGGTCACGATTTGCCGTCCCTGCAATTTGCTCTTAACAAGTTCATTTCCATCAAAACCGAATACCACCACTTCATTCATAAAGGCTAAATCTGCAATCGGTCGTTATTTTTTGGGGGGAAAAATAGGGTGGAGGCAATTTTTTTTCTCAAGTGCAGACATGGCTTCTGAGCAACACTGAGAGTTAATCTCTCTCTGGATCAGGACTGAAGTCAGAGTCAGGGACAGTAGTTTGCCACTCCATGGGGGGGTGAGATTCCCAACCAAACCCTTTCTCTGTCTGGTCTCTGTCACTCTCTCTGTCACTCTCTCTCACACATACAAATACAAATCCTCTCTCTGTCTCTGTCTCTGTGTCTCACACATATAAATACAAATCCTCTCTCTATCTCTGTCTCTGTCTCTCTCTCACACATACAAATACAAATCCTCTCTCTATCTCTGTCTCTGTCTCTCTCTCACACATATAAATACAAATTCTGTCTCTGTCTCTGTCTCTCTCTCACACATATAAATACAAATCCTCTCTCTATCTCTGTCTCTGTCTCTCTCTCACACATATAAATACAAATTCTGTCTCTGTCTCTGTCTCTCTCTCACACATATAAATACAAATCCTCTCTCTATCTCTGTCTCTGTCTCTCTCTCACACATACAAATACAAATCCTCTCTCTATCTCTGTCTCTGTCTCTCTCTCACACATATAAATACAAATCCTCTTTCTATCTCTATCTCTGTCTCTGTCTCTCACACATATAAATACAAATCCTCTCTCTGTCTCTGTCTCTGTGTCTCACACATATAAATACAAATCCTATCTCTGTCTCTGTCTCTCTCTCACACATACAAATACAAATCCTCTCTCTATCTCTCTCTCACACATATAAATACAAATCCTCTCTCTATCTCTGTCTCTGTCTCTCTCTCACACATATAAATACAAATCCTCTCTCTATCTCTGTCTCTGTCTCTCTCTCACACATACAAATACAAATCCTCTCTCTATCTCTGTCTCTGTCTCTCTCACACATATAAATACAAATCCTCTCTGTCTCTCTCTCTCTCTCTCTCTCTCACACACACCCGGACCCGGTGTGGCACTGCGGGTGAATCTCTGCCCCCACAGCCCTCGGGGCGAAAGAAAGGCAGCGAAATGCGCACAGGTTCGCTCCGCTGCTTCAGCGTCAGGAACCCCCACAGTCTCCCCTTCCCCTTCGCACCAGAACTTCTCGTTCGCTGAACGGTCCGCGCGATCCATCGATCGATCGCAAAGTTTGCAACGAAAGTATGAGCCGTTGCCCCCTCTTGTGTGTGTGTGTGTGTGTGTGTGTGTTTGCAGGGCTCTGGGCAGAGCTTTTCCTGCCCTTTTTTTTTGCTGATGTCTTGTACACGGGTTTTGGGATGTCAACACAGTGTGTGTGAGTTGTGTGTGTGCTGTGTGTTGTGTGTGCTGTGTGTTGTGTGTTGCGTGTGTCTGTGTGTGTGGTGTGTGTGCTGTGTGTTGTGTGTGTGCTGTGTGTGTGCTGTGTGTACTGTGTGTGTGGTGTGTGTGCTGTGTGTGTGGTGTGTGTGTGCTGTGTGTTGTGTGTTGTGTGTGTGCTGTGTGTTGTGTGTGTGCTGTGTGTGTGCTGTGTGTACTGTGTGTGTGGTGTGTTGTGTGTGTGTGGTGTGTGCTGTGTGTGCTGTGTGTGTGGTGTGTGCTGTGTGTGTGCTGTGTGGTGTCTGTGTGCTGTGTGCTGTGTGTGTGGTGTGTGCTGTGTGTGTGCTGTGTGTTGTGTGTGTGCTGTGTGTGTGGTGTGTGCTGTGTGTGCTGTGTGTGTGGTGTGTTGTGTGTGCTGTGTGTGTGCTGTGTGTGTGGTGTGTGCTGTGTGTGTGTGTGTGGTGTGTGTGTGCTGTGTGCTGTGTGTGTGGTGTGTGCTGTGTGTGTGCTGTGTGTTGTGTGTGTGTGGTGTGTGCTGTGTGTGTGGTGTGTGCTGTGTGTTGTGTGTGTGCATTGGGCAGTTCTTACCTCTGAGAGCAGTTTGGCTTCATTGAGTCCCGTCTTTCAGTTTGGGGATTAATTTGTTTAGGCTTCAGAGAGACAGACAGACAGAGAGAGAAGGAAAGAAGGAAAGAAAGAAAGGGAGAGAGAGAGAGGAGAGGTTGAGAGAGAGAGAGTTACAAAGTGATGTGGGCACCAACGGATATTACACGTTCAACAGAGGCGGTGCTTAACATTAATTGCACTGTGTACAAACTGGACTGACTTGACTCAAAACTGCTCCATGAAAGCGCAAGGGTTTTTATTTTGGTCTTTAATAATCTTTTCGGGCTGTACGATTCCCCGTGTGTGCGTGTCTGTGTGTTGGGTAACCTTCTTAAACTTTCCGTCTATCTCAATCCAAACTGCAGGGAGCTCATCTATTTTATGGGATCACGCACTCCTCCTTAAGCGTTGGGTTGAGTGTGCAACCCGTGGTCTTAATCGTAATAATAATCTTTGCATTTCGTATGGCGTCTTATCATGTCATCGCATTCCTCTCAAAGCGCTTCGCCGGATACGCCATAAAGTGTAGTGAGTGTCCGACCGACACTACCTTACCCTTTTCCCACCGAATAGACGGGAAATCTACCCTTAAGTAGTTTGGACTTCAGTCAGCTAGCCCAGACCTTACATTAACTATTTACCCTCTTGCAATTTTTTTGGTCAGTTGTGTGTCTGAGACATGTGGAAATGCATCACCAAACCAAGAATTCCATGCATCCCACCTACACATGGAAGTTCCAGATTTATTGGAACTAAATGCACACCTGCTCCCCAGAGCTTTGAGAACCTTGCCTAAGTTTGGCAAGAGCCAATTGTTGGGAACTCCAGAGTGTGCCTTGGGGTACTGCTGAAGTCTATCCAGCTAAAGACACATAGCTTGCCACTGGAAGCACTGTCTGTCAAGGTTTCCCGCTGCCTGTTCAGCTAGGACCACCCTATCCATTAGGGCTTTGGCTTGCACGGTTAACAGGAACTGAGACGGAAAAGTCCCAGTGACTGGTCTGTCCTTCCAAGTCCTGCCGATGAGCCAGGCTGACTGTGCTGCGGTCAGCAGTGCCCTGAAATACTGCCCTGAATAATTATTTATTTCTATTATTATACCCCGCTCGCCTCCTCCCAAAGACAATCCACATTTACTCTCCATAGCCTGGATTATGCCACTGGGAGAGTGCTGCTCCAGACTATTGGAATGCACTGTGCTGGAGGTCGGATTGAGTTCTTTTGACCCAGTTTACCTGATCTGTGATGTTGGTCCGTCCCTGCACAGGGTAGTCTGATTCCCATTCTAGTCGACCCGAGATTGACCACCTCCCAACTTCAGCTGATCCCACTCTAACGTCTGGGTTGTATCAAAGTTATCAGTATATTCTGTGAAATGCTTTGAGACATCTCAAAGATGCTATATCAAATGCAAGGATTACTAAATGCAAGGATTATTATGCTCTGAGACTCCACCTTGGTCTGTTTGGTTTTGTGGCATTGCTCATTTGGTTTTGGGGTGGGGGGTGCGAACTGGCAATTGGCACTTAAACAAACTTGCAGTACTTCCTTTGGAACTGTGGTACACTCAGAGTAGCAATAAATATGGGATGTTTCACATTGCTGCACTGATCAACCAAAACAGTATTCTGCGATCATCAATAATCAGAGAGGAAAATCTACAACTTGTTCCACCAGTTCATTTAATTACGGCACATCTTTTCATCACATTTCCCAATCTTTTCATTATATTGCTTAATAGCCTTAGAACATTTATCTGTATATATCTATCCATTTACATATAAAATAATTATACCATATATCATCTGTGCGTCCATAATTAGATCCAATCAAGTACCCATCTGCCTCCAGCTTGGGTGCCCAGACATCAGTGTCAAGTGCTTTGAGATATTCACCTGACATTAAGGTGCTTTATGAGCGCAAATTGAATTGCATTGTATTGTACCTACTTTCACTTTAAACATCTCAGTCGATTCTGCACCTATAGCATTTCATACTGACAACTCATCGGATGAAGAAATGTTTCTTGATTTTACTTCTAATTTTTATATATGATGTGTTCCATCGCATTCTTTTTCTTCGAGCTGCAAAATGCCAGAAAGATTATATGGACCCTTTCCCTGTGAGGGAAAGATTCTAAAACTGGTTTCACATAACCTCACATATTGACTGTTTCACTTTGTTGCAGTAATCAATTAGATATTGTGCAATTTCTCAACGTCTTTCAACATCCTCAATGTGTTTCTGCATAAGGCATTCACAAAGAAACCTTGACCTGCCCCAGAATCCAGAAACTTGACATCAATAAAGCGCACCACAAAGGATTAGTATAAATAGGATCACCAAACACTGCCTTGAACAGAGGCACTGCTGAGCTCCAGTGTGTGTACAACAACAACAACAACAACAACAACAACAAGATTGCATTTATAGAGCACCTTTCACGTTGGGAGGGCGTCCCAAGGCGCTGGACAGTTGGGTCGGGACGCGAGCAGGGGGGAACTGATCAGGGTGAGGGGAGGGAAGGAAGGGAGGGAGCGAGGAGGGGGTAGAGAGTCGAGAGGGGAGGTGAAGGCATGGGGGCACGGAGGTGTAATAGGGGGAAGAGAGTTCATTCCCCAAAAGATCTTCTTTCAGTGTTGCATGATGACTGATTTACCACCCAAAGTTGTGTTGAACGTATTTAAATAAACACATCGGTCTGTATAACAGTAAACTCCAGATCCAGCATTCCTGCACATTATTTTGCTGAAAGATTTATTATTAAGCCTACAGGAGATGAGAGATTGTCTATGTGGCTATGCTCACAGACTCATAGACAATGTATTTTGTTCGTTATATGGTCACAGACTCATAGACAATGTATTTGGTTTGGTTTATGGTCACAGATTCATAGACAATGTACAGTATTTGGTTTGGCCTATAGTCACAAACTCACGGACAATGTATTTGCTATAGCTTTCTATTTAATACAAATCCCATTGCACTTCATTTTGTATCCCCTCTGGTGGAACTTTACATAAAAATCTTTTTTTTGCAAAATGAAACCAACACACACATACATTGATGACACATTTGAGGTAATAACATAGAGTCACATAAGAGTCACTGTCGGGCAATTTCAGTACTCTCAATCCTGAGTGTGTCACTCAGTATAAAGCGGAATAACTTGCCTCCGCTAAGTTGTTTACCACTTAAACAAGCATATGGTCATGGTGGCTAGCGACTAAAGGATGGTTTCTGGATGAAATCATTGCGATGGTCCCACCAAGCACTTTGACGGTGAGCAATCATGATAGCTCATCAAATGCTATGACTAAGCCACCATTTTCAACTGCTTGCGGCATAATTTATTGTTGAATCTTCGCTGCTCCTTCTGTCTCTCTGTAACCGGTTCCACTGACATTATAAGTCACATTTTTTGGGGTGGGGGGGTCAGCCAGGTGTCTGACACATGCGGAAACCCATCACGAAGCTTAAGAGTATCCAAACCAAACTGAGAATTCCATGCATCCCACCTACACATGGAAATTCCAAAGAGAGATTGTTAGCATGGAATGTGCATTGATATTGCCGTCTGCGGCGCTTTCCTGCTGGTTGTCCAACTAGGACCACCCTGCCAGTTAGTGCTTTGGCTTACAGGCTTAATAGGAGCTGAGTGGGAGGATTCCCTGCCCCCAGGTCACATCCATTCACCTTGTAATATCATGGGCCTACCACAGTACAAGCTTTTACTTGAATTCTGCCCTCGGAGTGCAAGTGAAGTACTTGGAGAGACCCCTCAAACATAGGAGTTGGGATGAACTTCGTTTTTATAAGCAGTTAAGGGTCATTAAGGGAACAGATAGATATGAAATAAACAAGCAAGCTTGATCTACAGAGAGAAGTGAAAACTGAATTATAACAGTAGGAGACAGGTAGAGTGACAGAGACAGAACTGACTCTGGGTCTGGATTGACCCTGATGTAGAAACAATGGATGATAAGGAACTGTTTTTAATATAAACACATTTTTTCCCCATTCAGAGTTTGTTGCTTCTACTCCTGAAGTCAGTAACACATAACAGTAATAATAATACAGTAAAACTCTCATAAGTCTAATCTGGATAAATTGTATAATCATACATCGTGCCCAAGTCCCGTTGAATTTCCTATAACTTAAGAGTTTCACATAACTCATACTTAGCATAAATCATATTAATTGTATGGTCCCCAATGTGAGGCATACTGTAATAATAATTTGATGCCGGGCTTCCACATCAGCAGGACGATCCAAAGCGTTTCACAGGATATACTGCAAAGTGGAGTGACTGTGTGTTTTGTAGATGAACACGGCAGCCGATTTGCGCACAGCAATTTCCCTCCAACAGCCATGACTGTCTGAACTGTGTGAACTCTGAACGCTATTCCCACACTATAAACAGTTGCTGTAACACCTGATTAACTGTTTTTCTTCCAAAGACGAAAGATTCTCCTGACAACCACACCTGCAATCATCTTCCCAGAGGCAACTCTGTCTGGGGGAGTTCCAGACAATGTGAGAATCTGTCTCATCTAAAGTTGGTGAAGCAAACCTGTATCGGTGTTTCAGGAGATAGTTTCTCCATGACAAGTAACATAAAAGGCATCAACCAATGAATTGATACATACCGTCATTGTCAGTGAAGGTGTGGTTCAATGACAACACTGCAACAAACGTCAAAAAGTGTTTGTTTTGAATACTATTCTGTGTCATTGGAGGAATGTCACAATAGATGCTAAAGAATCCTGTCTGTGACCCTTTCATCTCCCCCTCCCCCGATAAACCAACAACTCCCATCAGCCGATGGGAATGTGGCTCCTGGTTTCTGCAGTGGCTACACATCACCAGGTAGACTGAGCCAGTCGCCTCATTCCGTCACTTTCCTTAGGAATATTATGAATCAGTAGTCCCATGGGAAACCAAATGTTTCCCAGTTTTTGGTGTGGCTTATGGTTTCTGTGGTGGCAATAACTGGCTTCATATAATAATAATAATCCTTGCAATTGATATAGCACCTTATCACATCTTCTAGATGTCTCAAAGCGCTTCACAGAATATACTGTAAAGTGAA